AATCAAAGAGATTGTGATTTCAGTTGGTATATTCGGAGAAGGAAGAAAAGCATCAATGCTGGCTTTGATTCAAGAAGATATCAATTTGGCACAGTTCTCAATTGGGAGATTAAGAATCTCAGTCCAAGAGGCATCTTGAAGAAAATCACAAAATGAATCCCAATCAGTCTGCTGGTAGCAGAAAGAAGTCTTGTGAATAGGAGGCTCCATTCTAAAACATATTTCAAAAGAAATATCTACAGAAACTACTGTGTGATCTGAATTGCCAAGAGGACAAAGTTGTGATGCTCAACAAGAGCTAGGAGAGGAGGCAAGGAACAAATCGAGTAAAGAAGCATGTTGACCAGATTTATAAGGAAAACAAGTCAGTAAATCCAGTATTTGATTAAGAGAGTGAGCAACAGAAAAATTCAAGTCTGAATACTGGCTACATTAGTAACATTAGAATACTTAAGCCACTTTGTAGAGTCAGTTAAATGTAAATAAATTGCAGAACTGCCCAACAAACAGAATTAACAAAGTTTGTAATAAACAACAACAAGGAAAAGAAAAGAACAGGGCAAAAAATAATGTAAAAGCAAGTAAACAATATATTCAAGGCAAATGAACAGTAACAAGGCAAAGCAACAGCAATAAGGCAAAAAATTCAAAAACTAAGATTGGGAACCAGAGCAACACACTTGATGTGATGAAAATTAAAATCACCAAATACAAAAATCTTCACAAAGAGAGAGCCATTTTTACATTGTCAGAAATTTTGTCTAATATATTGAGAAAAAGAGCAATAAAGGAAAAATAGCTAACAGAGTGCAATAACAAAAGTCAAAAACACATGAAAGACTCATCAGATGACTCAAGAGACAATTCTCTTGCCATTGGAATATTTTCCTGGGTATAAATACTGAAGCCATGCATATGTATTTTAGAATCTTTTTGAACAAAATGGGAAGTTATTGAAGTCTATTACGAAAATGAATGTTCAAACAGAAATGCATTTTGCACATTTCGCGATTTTTTGGTCAGCATAATCGACTAATCGATAGTGCAATTGGAAACAATGTAATGTTGTTGTGGAGAGGTTCAATTACTGTGTGCAATGATGAATAGAGGGGTCTAAATTTTCAGCCGCATTCTTGTGCACTGCAGTAATGTTTTCAGCTAAACGGTGTAAACAAGCATGCAATGGTGATTTGCAAAGCGAATATCACCATCAATGACATGTCCAACCCTTCACTTAAACTCCCCACCCACAACACTGCATTCATCGGTTGTGTGAATGGCAGTGGCTCATAAAGCCAGCCACTGATCTGCATTTCCTGTAATATATGTGTCATATTAAATCACCTCCAGGTGTTGGAAGGAGACTTTGATCATCATCACTTCCAATGTGCTGTTCCATGTGCCTTGTCAGGTTTTATACATACATTCATACATATAAAGAGAGATAGATATAGATAGTATGGTGATTGTCAGTTTATTTTATAAATTATATTTTTCCTGATATATAGAAATTTAGATATATTCTCCCACCTGGATATACAGATATAAATAGAACAAGGTAGATAAAATAAATGTGAATGAATGTGGAGATTGAGATAGAAAAGTATGAATAGACAGAGGTAGATATATGGCTGAAGTGACATAGATACAGACAGGGATAGATAGTTCGCTAGATAGATATGGATATATTAAAATAGATATGAGCAGATTAAGAGAGATTGATATGAGCAGATTATGAGAGATAGATGTCAGAAGATTACGAGAAATAGATAATGAGCAGATTACGAGAAATAGATAGATGCGAGCAGATTAAGAGAAATAGATAGATGCAAGCAGATTAAGAGAGATTGATATGACCAGATTAAGTGAGATTGATATGACCAGATTAAGTGAGATTGATATGACCAGATTGAAAGATATTGATATGAGCAGATTAAGTGAAATAGATAATGAGCAGATTAAGATAGATGTGAGCAGATTAAGAGAGATTGATATGAGCAGATTAAGAGAGATAGATAATCAGCAGATTAAGAGATATAGATATTCAGCAGATTAAGATAGATGGGAGCAGATTAAGAAAGATTGATATGAGCAGATTAAGAGAAATAGATAATGAGCAGATTAAGAGAGATGTGAGCAGATTAAGAAAGATTGATATGAGCAGATTAAGAGAAATAGATAATGAGCAGATTAAGAGAGATGTGAGCAGATTAAGAAAGATTGATATGAGCAGATTAAGAGAAATAGATAATGAGCAGATTAAGAGAGATTGATAGACATGAGCAATTTAAGAGATAGATAGAAATGAACAAAGCAAGATAAATAGATAAGAGCAAACTGAGATAGATACATAGAGTGAAATAAAATGCAAAACTATGAAGCCTATGCAATCAACAAATGCATCATTTCAAACTTCTGAAATATGGCAAGGAATTTTATAGCGTTAGATCTAAAGGACAAAAATGTCTTTTGCTTAAACTCTTCAGGAATTCTGTAGAGTAATTCATGAAGAAACAGCATAGACATTCACTTTTATGTTTGCTGTATTAACATTTCATCCAGCAAAGATGATATCACTCAACTGCATCCCTGTTTTTGCCATTCACATTCCTCAGTGTGTCTTTTGTTATATCAACCTTGAAAGCCAGGCTTGCTGAAGTTCATGCTATTCATCCATTAAACCTTTGGATTTAGAAAACAAAACACCAAAGTAGATGCTGATTCTGTCAAAGAGTATCAATTTTCATACTGAATTTTGTACTGATGGCCATTTTACTGGTGCCAGGGGAAAAAAGACTGCCTAATTGCATATTAAGAATAGATGGACCATCACCAATTCAGCAATCACCAATTCAGCAATCACCAATTCAGCAATCAACAATTCAGTTCAATCAGTAATCCAGCACTAAATTTCTATGAGGAATTTAAGATTTCCTGGGTTGCTTCCGGAACCTGCTACTCCAGTTTGGTGGTCCTAGCTGCAGCATCAGCTGTCTTTGAGCAATTAAAGCCAATACTGGTAAGGCATTCTTCTTGACCTTTGACCATTTTTAGATCTAGCCGTGGCTTCAATGTTATAATAATTATATCATAATTGTGTATCATTATTATTATGTGTTATGCTATTATTATTATTATGTATTATCATATATTATTATATCATTATTATTATTATTATTATTATTATTCATTATTATATATTTTTATTATCATTATTATTATGTATTTTTAATATTATTAAATCATTATATTTTAAAATTTATTTTACCCCAAGCAAGGCAACAAAGCCACTAAGATGCAGTGGATTACCAAATATGAAATATAAGAAAAAAGAAAAATATCAAGGAGTGAAAACAATAAAACAACAAGAATTAAGAATACAGAAGATAATGATTGACATTGCATTTAATTTTTTGAAGATCAAACTTGACCAGAAAGCAAGAAGCTTAAAGAGAGTTCCATGAGCAAGAAGTGGGGTAGAAGAAATTGTTTCCATAGAACTTATGGTTACATGTAGCTATTTCAACTGTAAAATGATGAGATCTTGTTGCCAATTTAGTACTGTGCTTAAATTCATAAAGTTTAGGTACCATTGGAAGTAAATTCATCAGGAACAATTACCATGGAAACAGTTATTGAAAAAGCACAAGGAAACTACATTATATGAATGGGAAAGTAATTGAAGCCAAGATGCTGAGTCAGGACCAATAATATTGTAGATTTGTCTTTGGATTTTACCAAGAATCTCAACATACTAAACAGGAGCACCAGATGTGGCAGCAATATTCAAAGAATGAGCAAATGGTAGACTTGTATTTACAAGTCTACCATTTGCCCATTCTTGCCCATGTAAAATAGAGTGAGAAAAATTGTCTTTCATGATGCAGTGAATCAACATTTATATTTCTTTATCATTATTATATTATTATTATGTACCAACATTATCATTAACCTAATTGTATTGTCTTATAGGATAGTAGCAGGAATCGTCTGTTAGCTATCACTTTGCAAAGTAAGATATATTCACTACTTGTTTAGTTTTGTTTATATTCTTTCTTTCATGTTTTAGTTTTGCTTTTTGGGATTATCCCCTCCCCCCAGTCATCATTCATAAATTTTTATATATATAAAATTAAAAAAAAAAAATCATGAACTTTTCAAATTTTTTATGTCATGGGGTGTGTCTTTGCAGGTCCCCTGAGTGTATGTGGTATTATGATAAATGATGGATTGAATGATGATGGACAAGTTCTTTTGGTGAATGTGTTAAATTGTAACGAGTGCATGGATCACAAATCCAATTAGTTAGGTATAGGATAGTAGTGATGACCAGCCTCAGCCTACCCTCCCCCTTTTCGGCCTTGTGCCACAATTGTGTATCTTTATGCAATAAATCTCAGGTAAATTACTATAAAGTAGTTTGTAACACATTTATTTATCATCTCTTAGTTGCATCTCCATCTTTGGGCACAGTGCACTCCAGGGTAGCTCTGTTGAAGGACAGAGTTGCAAATGAGAAAAATTATACTGAGAGGTGCCCAGCCATGGGGAACAGTGGCCTGAGGCCCTTTCATTGCACTAGAGAGAGGGATCAATGCTTGCATCAAAGTCAGTGCAACCGACAATTGCTAGGGCTCATGGAATTTTTGTTCCTAGCCCGGGTGTACACACTTGGGCTCCCCACATTAAACCGGCCTTTTAAAAGTTCAATGATAATTCTTCTGATGTCACTTAATTTGAAGATGATTTGATGTATGTAGATCCTTAATTTCCATACAAACAATTATTTTTTAATTCAATACTTAAATGTAGCAATCAATTTTGAGTTTTTCTGTACTTTATTAATGCCTATTGCATCTACTCTTCCCTAGCTATTGTGATGATGTCTAAACCAAGAGTCCTCCACATCTGTCATCTGGGTTTGCGTGAAAATGCATGAGGAAAATAAGTCTAATCAATGGAAGCTAAAGAATATTTGCAAAAGAAAATACAATATCTACCTGATGATGGCTGGACCTGTGCCCAGATCAAAACGGAATTCCAAATGTCCACCACTCATTGTCAGCATAAGGAAATCACCTCTGCGATCCAACGTGTAACCATTATAGATGATTAGTCCGTCTGGGGATGTGGGCTTGATGATCATCTCAATTTCAGTAAATGATAAGGTGCTCCGGTCCAGACCATGGAAACGCAGATGAGAGTGTCCATTAAAGTTTGGAACATGAAGGGTTGATTCTGAAAGAAATCATGAAAAAATTTAAATTTATATTTTAGTCAATCCTGTAAATGTTAAATTTTCTGACTCATCCTGAAATTTATTTTCATAAACACTTCAAATGTACCACATCTATCCCAATATAATTGTTACATTAGCACAGATATTTTATTTTGTTGACTGATTTGGTTTTTTTTTTTATGGCTTATCAACCCTTTGAGATTTTTAAAACCAAAACATATATTAAATTTTAAGAATAATTCTCTTTTTCACAGATGTGGGCTTCGAAACATCACAACAAGAGATATGCATTTCTTAAAAAAGTTAATTGAATATTGCTTTGCTGTGAATTCCTTTCATGGATAAGTGGTTGAAAGCAAATCTTATATAAATGTGGTATTGTTTTCTTTACAGTTTATCAACCCTTTATGGGTTTTTTGAAACTGAAGCATATTTTAAATTGTAAGAATAATTCTTTTTCTTGAAAATAACAATAATTTTTCCAGATACAAGTCCTACTATTTAATCCATAGCTGGAGGAGGAGATGGATTTTCACCTTTTCCAAGAGTATTTGCACATAAGTAAATGTAATGAACCTGACTGGAATTTGAACTCAGCTCTCAGATTTCTCATTCCGAGCCATTATTAAACCACCCACACATCCACATATTATTTATTATGTGACAGAGATATTTTTACAACCGCTGTCCAATAATAAATGTTACATTTGCATACAAATTTCATACATTAAATGTATCAATTATTATGGGACAGAGATATTTTTTACTACTGCTGTCCAATAATAAATGTTACATGTGCATACAAATTTCATACATTAAATGTATCAATTATTATGGGACAGAGATATTTTTTACTACCGCTGTCCAATAATAAATGTTACATGTGCATACAAATTTCATACATTAAATGTATCAATTATTATGGGACAGAGATATTTTTTTTTAAACCGCTGCCCAATAATAAATGTTATATGTGCATACAAATTTCATACATTAAATGTATCAATTATTATGGGACAGAGATATTTTTACTACCGCTGTCCAATAATAAATGTTACATGTGCATACAAATTTCATACATTAAATGTATCAATTATTATGGGACAGAGATATTTTTTACTACCGTTAATAATAAATGTTACATGTGCATAAAATTTCATACATTAAATGTATCAATTATTATGAGACAGAGATATTTTTACTACCGCTGTCCAATAATAAATGTTACATGTGCATACAAATTTCATACATTAAATGTATCAATTATTATGGGACAGAGATATTTTTTACTACTGCTGTCCAATAATAAATGTTACATGTGCATACAAATTTCATACATTAAATGTATTAACTATTATGGGATAGCGATATTTTTTACTAAAACGTTCGGTAGCCACTCAAGGTAGAGGATTACAGTTGAAATGGTAATTATGAATTAGGTTTGAGATATGGAGGGGTTGGATAATGAGGATAAGGAGGATATATGCTAATTGACCTTTGACTTAAAGAGATGAAGATTATAGTATTCAGGAAAACAACCACACTACAAAACAGTGGTTCTTGGGAAAATGCAGTTTGAATGGAACTTTCTTCTTATCGTTGGAACATGGAAGAAATGAAGTTGACTCATAACTGTGAAAGCAACATGTGCCCTAGCAGTAATTGTCTAAACTAGTGACTCTAGAGAATGGAACTCATCTGAATACTTGCCACTGAAATAGCTATATAGTACCAATAGACTTTCAACAGTGTGACTATGGGGAAAGTGATTGCAGAGTGGAAGATACATTTTCCACCAAAAAAATGTGCAAACAATTTTGAGCTCTATCAAGTTTGGAAAGTGAGGATTAAGCATTTCCAGTAGAGATGTGCCAGCAATACTCCATTTCTGGCTTGATCTGACTCTTCTATAGGTAAAGCTTAAAAGGAGTCAGGTACTTCCTGGAGTGGTAGAATGTAGTGGCCGTTTTTACATCTGGAGTGAACTTGGGTCCCAATAGACATTCAAATCATGCAGCCTTGTTGAGAGAGTAAGTGTTCAAATTTTAATTGTGTCTCCCCAAAAGCAATATTGTTGGTCAGTGATATTTGATTAACAAACAAGAATCAAAGACAGTTATTTATTGTTTATATTTTATGAATTTCTATGGCGTATAAGCAGCTTTGTTGTAACTAGCTTGACAATTGAGAGAGAGGGGGGGGCAGGGAAACAGGAGAGTGAGATGAGAAGGATGATAAGAACATAGATCCAAGAGAGAGGGAGGGAGGAGGACAGAAATAGAAGAGAGAAGAGGAGGAGGACAGAAAAGAGGATGAGGACAGGGAAAATGAAGAGGAAGAAGACAGAGAAAAAAACAGGAGGAGGAAAGAGAAAAACAGAAGGAGGAGGACAACAGAGAAAAACAGGAGGAGGAGGACAACAGAGAAAAACAGGAGGAGGAGGAGGACAACAGAGAAAAACAGGAGGAGGAGGAGGAGGTGCGGGACACAGTGGAAAGAAGAGAAGGACAAGGAAACAGAAGAAGGAACATGGGGACAAGGAAACAGAAGATAAAGAGAAAGGAGGAGGAGAAAATGGAGAGAGAGAGGAGGACAGGAAAAAAGAGTGAGGAGGAAGACAGGCAAAGAGAAGAGAGAGAAGAAAGATTGGGAAAAGAAGAGAGAGAAGATGAAAACAGGGATAGAGAAAAGAGAGGGGGAAAGACAGGGATAGAGAAAAGAGAGAGGGGGAAAGACAGGGATAGAGAAAAGAGAGAGGGGGAAAGACAGAGATTGAGAAAAGAGAGAGGGGGGAAAGACAGGGATAGAGAAAAGAGAGAGGGTGAAGACAGGGATAGAGAAAAAAGAGAGGGGGAAAGACATGGAGTCAGGAGAGAGGAGAGTGAGAAAGAAAGGATTAGGACAGGGAGACATGAGAGACACAGGGAGATGAAAGAGAGAAAGAGGAGGAGGGGAACCAGGAGAGGGAAAGAGAGGGAAGAAGGAAAACAGGGATACAGAAGAGAGAGAGACAAGGGAGTGAGAGAGAAGAGGAAGAGAACAAGCAGACAAGGGAGAGAGGAAGAGAAGAACAGCTTGGTAGGAGAGAGGAGGAGATTTAAGAGAGTGGAAGAAGAGAGAGATGAGTGAGAGTAAAAGAGAGAGAGGTAGGAGAGAGAGAGAGTGAACTTGAGCTAAGCCAATATTCATGAATACAAATTTCAAATTCACAAGACAGCCAATACAAGTGAAAGCCTGGAAGAAGAAAAGGATTTCAACCCTCAGTTTTAGAATATATGGAATGAAAGTAACACTAAAAGATATGAAAATTGTGAATGGAACAAAGAGAAAATATCAGTCTTATAAGGATCTGAAGATGATTTGAATAAACATTGAAATATTAATGAAATAATCTTTTTGTTTGTTCATCAAATATAGATGACCACCATCCTAGCTTGGCATCTCAAAACTAGTCCCTTTCTCACCAACATAATGTGGCTTCCCTCTGTCTTTTCTACAAATATTTTCATGGCAATTGCTCTGATGAGCTTTATTTCCTGGTGCTCTGGGTAAATAAATTTAAGTGTGCTACTGGATTGGCATCTAGGTCCTGCCCTTTTACTGTTGAAATAGTTAAATGTAACCACCGCTAATACTCCAACAGTTTCTTTTCTCACACTTCCCGCCTGTGGAACTCCCTTCCATTTATTTGCTTCCCTAATAAATACAATCTTTAAAAATTTAAATACAATGTCCATTTCCATCTTCTATCTTCCTGTACATCTTTTATCCTTTTCTCTCACTTTCATTCTCTATAACTCCTTGCATACCATTCCTGCCTTGCTTGGAGTGAAATGATTAAAAAAAAAAAGTTTTTCAAACTTAATTTCATCCAAGTTTTGGAATTGTCACCTGTCTTATTTTTTTCATGAAGTAATGATGACTTACAGGGAAGCTTTTCAGAATTACTTTCAGCTGTTGAGTTGTAAAAATTCTCTTCTCTCTTGTTAATTCATCAATTATTAATGACCCACAAGAATGTTTTGCCAAGTTACTGTCACCCAATTCAGTTAGGTCACCAACTACAAGCCACTTAAAATAGCAAATAAAAACTCCAACAGTCGGCAGAAGTAAAAAATAATAGAATCAACCAAAATTACTTACTTGTTTCGCAGTTATCTCCAATGTATCCCAAGGGGCAAAGACATATGTGGGTGTCTGCTGACTTGGCTGTACAATTGCCACCATTCTCACACACAACAGATGTACAAACATTAGCACTACACTCCTCTGTAAATAAAAAAAATTTTTTTTAAATTATAAATTAATATCTCAAACACTGAGAAAGTTGCACATTTTTAAAATCCATAAAAATATTTTGCAAGCAAAAAATTCCAGCCTTAAATCTATATTCACTCTATTAATTAATGAATATTTAAAAAATTACAGATACAAAGTGCAATGGCGAAATTGTCACCATTTTATATTTTTAATTTTTCACATTTTGTCAACTGTGCAGTATAGTAGGGTCAGTGTTGAGATGTTGAGAGTTTTCCCGTGTGTGGGTGTATGAATCAAGACAAACACAGTTGTAGGGGAAAATACTGGTATATTCGTAAAAGCAATTAACAATAGAGTGATTAGTAAAACGAAGGTCGGTTAGTACGAAACAATATCCAAACTCTATAGTCCAACGGTATGTAACGGGTAACCTTATCTGGACTGCTGTCGCTGACGCTTCTGCTGTCCTCTCTCTAGAGCTGACTTATATAAGAGGGACCAGTCCATTTCTAGTTAGAAGGTGGGTGCGTCCCAACAGTCAGTTAGGCACCATCTGTGAGAAAAAGAGCACCATGAGGCAATTTGGAAATGGCATGCTGTACGGATTGGCATTCATGGCAGAAGTTCCAATATGAACATTTCAGAGAGTTTGGGTGTTAATCTGAGGAATGTGCAGGGGATTTCAAAAAGATGGATCTAATTGTTATTACGATCGTATGGCAGCTTGAAAAATTCATTTAGCATGGAGGCCTAGTACTTTGAGGAGGTAGTGCTTCTCTGGGTTAAGAGGAGGGCTATTGGATGTCTGGCAACAGGACCGTTCATCAAGCCACACAAGCAGAAGAGCCCAGTCATGGCTGTCAGACAATTTCTACAACCACATCACCACTTACATCTGGCCACCTAACTCCCCAGATTGCGCACACCTTGAATATTACATGTGGAGCACAGTTGAGTGAGAGACCAACAAAACTCCTTGTACTACCAAAGATGAACTGAAGGCAAAGATAATGGCAGCATTCACCAACTTAAACAATGAGACCATCCAGAAAAATTGATGGAGATTCTGAAGTCGTCTGGAGGCTGTGGTTGAAGCCAATGGCAATTTTACTGAATAAATTTACTTTTTAGTATTTCAATATATATATTTTATAGTAAAAGAAGAAAGAACAGTAGGATATATAATCCGATGTTCTTGTTGATATTTTTATTTTTACAAAACAGTGCTCAATGAAAATTTACAGAGCATAAATATTATAAATTAACTGATTTAAAAATATGGTTTTATTGCTACACATGAATTACCATGTTTCAAAAACAGAAAACAAAATCTTCAAATTCAATTATATTAAATTAAAAGGATTAGTTCTGTTTCATCTTCAAGTGAATTTTGGAACAAAAATTATGAATGTATGTGCTTTTAAATTTTAAAAATAAGTTATTCCAAAATTCACTTGAAGATGAAACAGAACTAACGCTTTTAATTTAATATAATTGTATTTGAAGTTTTTGTTTTCTCTTTAGTATTTCGAGATATTTTTGTGTGATTTTGGTAAATATACCTTTTAAAATGAGATTTCAGTATTATTTTCATTTCTGTGTAATTTAGATGACAATTTATCCATCGCAGCCTGTATATATCTACAATGTATGTATTTAGTGGGGGGACTTGAACAGCATATTTGAGGTACATAATGAGTTTCAATTACTTCCATCATTGATGTCTTCAATAAATTATGAATATTGCTTGCAATTCTTTTACACTTGACACTGAAGCTCATACATCAAGCATCCATGATTATTAGATGGTCTGGGCACTTGGTCCATCTTGAAGAAAACAAACTATCCATGAAAGTTAATGACAGAGAAGAGCAAGCACTTGCAAACCCTATAGGCATAATAAAGACAAATTAACCTGGGAACAATCAACAAAAGAGAGAGATCTTTGGCAGAACACTGTTGCCATTGGTGTAAAGAATTTTGAGCGAGGTCAAATTTTTGACATGCAAAGATGAAACATGCTGCAATGAAAAGAGAGATTGTTTGAATCAAGAGAATATTTAACCCTAGAACACTAACCATAGGTATAATATACCTAGTTCAAATTTTCCTATTTTTAATTACAATTTTCAGTACCTGATTTTCTTACCTAAATAATGTTTTTCAGTTCCTATTAATGTTAACTCAAAGTACAAAGTTTGAAGTGCCTTCAAGCAAAATATTTCAAATAAAGATTTATATTTAATATTTTTTTTTGATATTTTCAAAATCGGGTATGATATACTCTTGGTTAGTAGTGGTGTAACTTTAATTGATGGTTAGTGTTCTAGGGTTAAAGGTAAATTTGAAGCAATAATCTGCAATGTTATTGGCATCACAGCTTTAGTCATTTTCCCACTGCCATAATGTCACTTCCCTGTGCCTTTTCTATAAATACTTTCTGATGAACTTTCCTCTATAGTATCTAGACTCTATGAATTTAAGCACAGTACTAGATTGGTGGCAAGGTTTCATCATTTTAGAGCTGAAATGGCAAGATGTAACCGTAAGTTCTATGCTAATGGTTTCTTCCATTGCACTTCTTGCTTGTGGAACTCTCTTATATCTTCGTGCTTCCCAATCAATTTTGATCTTTAAAAATTTAAATACAATGTCAATTGTTATCTTCTGTCATCTTAATTCTTGTTCTTTTATTGCCCTTCCTTCTTAATAGTATCTTTTTTCATATTCTCTAACACTCAGTAACCCCCTTGCATCTTAGCGGCCTTATTGCCTTGCTTGGGGTGAAATGGTTAGAAAGTTGGAAAAACTTTGTAAATTTAACATTTTGCAACACATGCATGAACACAAACACAAAAACCATTAGATATGAGTTTGATATCTACACAATGAATGAAAACAAAACAAAATGGAATTTTAAATTTGGAAAATAACTCCACAATATATTACTTCGAAATTTTCTGATAAAGCAAAATAAATATAAATTTATAAGAAAATTTCTACTTTTTCCTTCTTTGACCATTGTCAGATTTAATCTGTAATAAATTGGAAACATTTATAAATCTAATGTTTCACTTTTTATTAAAATTGTTAATCTTAAATTTTTATTCTTTATTTCTCCATATCTCATTCTTTGATGAAATTGAGATATGAAGAAAGAAACAAATACTGGTATTTTTTGTGTTGTTTGAATTTCATTGGTTAAGCAGGTTTCACATATATTTGACTGGTTAAGGTGCATTGGTATAAGTTATTGAACTCAAGGAGAAATGCTCTAATAAAAGCGAAATATGTTATATTTATAAACGATTCCTACCTGTTCTTTATTTTATCATTCTGTCAGATTATTCATCTTTTATCTTTATTTGATCCCTCAAAGACACATGGCACAGTGAATAAAGGCATTAATTAGATCAAGAGACAGGGCCCAAAGAGTGTGAGTTTAAGACTTGGTTGTGGGAGAACTTAGAGAGGGGAATTAACAGGAGATAACTGATAACTTACATCCATTAGACATGGTACGTGGAACTAGAACAGTCTACCCCAGTGAGTGAAATAAAGGGTTCATTTTGATATTCCAACCACCTGAAGAAGGCTGGAGTGTACAGTGGCAGAAACGTTGCGATAAATATGGCAACAAAGATGAAGACAATAGTCCGAATAATGTAAATAGTGTGTGTGTGTATATATATATATATATATATATATTGATTGATGTTTCATTCATGTTTCATTGAATATTTTAGACAAGTTTTGTTTACTTATATGGACAAGCTTTTTGGTGTCATTGAAGGAAGAGAGAAAATTGCTGTGCTGATACATATTATTTATTCTGAGTAATTTCAACATAGCCCAATGTCATCATCAGAGTGTCGTTTATTTCAAGACAAATATTGTGATGTTCATCATTTTCAAAAACAATATTGCTG